TCAAAACGACGTTGTCTCCAAGCATTTATAAATAGGAAAGCGATACAGAAAGTAACAGTGAAGCATAAATTTTCTTCTTATAAAATGGGTGATTGTTCATCAAAGCTTTACGAAAATGACGAAGATAATCCGTCACCTCGTCGGGTACAATATACTAGAAGCAGACTTACTACGTTAACAGGTCAAAAACTGAGGGCGCCAGTTGACAAAGACATCTGGACCAAAGAGTTAATAGATCTTGTGAAGGACTACAAAGAGGACACTGAATCAACAGTGATTTGTAATGTTTCTGCAACAGCCAACATGAAGGGTATTCATTTTAATATATTTTTTCTACGATATTTTTTAAATAATGAATAATACCATTATAATGGCAATGATATAATAATACATGCAATTTAAGTGATACGCCAAACAGCCTTGCTGTTGGATTGACACTTAATTTAGCGATATGGTTGAGTGTCCGCCTTGTAATCGAGAGGTCCAGGGTTCAAACCGCCGTCAGTTCTGGGGGTACAACATGTAGTATTGAGAAAACATAGCAAGACTGGGCAATACGCGCTTCATTTGTTGAATGTGAAGTTACAGTTTAATGTTTTTTTAAAAGAAATTATTAATATGTACTTTCAGATGGAGAGACTAACGATGACATATTGGACGTTGACGAACACAGCAGCACGGTGGAAATGTTCTGGCGGTTTTAATTCAAAGCACCGGGTTGGGGAAGACAGGATGCAGTGCTCCGGGGTTGAAACAAGCAGATTTAAAAAAGCAATCTTTTTAAAAGGAATCTAAATACAAAAATATACTGGGAAAATGATATGGAAAAAAAACGTTTAAGAAACAATTAATGGCATTTTGGTTAAGACTTCAACATCGTCGAAATAACATGTAACCATGTAGATATAAATGTCTTTCCACTGACTTTACTTTACAAATATAAATACATGTATACTCTATGTTTCCCTGTAGTTTATTTATGCAATTAAAAAAAACTTCAAAACATTTTGTATATGAAATATTATAATCCGATCGATGATTATATGTACAAAAAATACATTTTAATAAAAGATAGATTGTGAAATAAAGTTTGATTTTGTTTTGATGTTAATTGTTCTTTCAGTTCAAAAAATTGCTGTTGTTGTTTTTACGATATTTAAATTAAACAATGTCTTTCAAGCAGATTCGAATCTATATACTCATTAGACTGGCGAGCATAATATCATTTTATTCAACGAGTTCAATAAATTCAGTAATGAATATACACGAATTTAATATTCTACTTATCACACACCCAAAATAAAGACAGTTTAAAGTGAAATAAGAGTCATTTTTCATTGACGCGCCGCTTGCATTTAGCGCGTCTTTACGCTATGCTTGTATAACGCTAATGACGTCACGTCCAAATAAATTATATGCACGGCGTGTAATACCATATTTACGGAGTCGCAAAATCGGCACGGGCATGTGATAAATAATATTCCTTTAAATATTCCTTTAAAACTTCCTTAAACAGCATTGCATGTGTATAAGTCTGGAATTTTAGTGCAGGGTACTTAAGGTCAGATATAGCTGGAGATAGAAAATCAAATCTCGAATTTACAGATATAGAATCTATATTCATAGAGGTAATCTTAAATAAAAAGAAATGGCTTTTAATGGGTGCATATAAACCTCCATCTATATCAAATGAAACTTTCGAACAAAACTACATGACAACTCTAGATAAATGTAGTTCTAAGTATGATGAATATGTCTTACTAGGTGATTTAAATTTTGATTTACTTGATCCAACCAAATGTGCTCCTTTAAACGATATTATTGATGTTTTTAACTTATCGATTCTAATTAAGAAGGCTACCTGCTTTACTAAAAGTGGTATACCATCACTGCTGGATGTGATTTTAACTAATAGCAATTCTTCTTTTGGGAAAATATGTAATTTTAATTATGGACTGAGTGATGTACACAATCTGATTGCATTTCAGCTAAAAGATGAAACTAAAAGTAAAAAACCTAACTGGAGTAATTATAGATCTTTTAAAAATTTTGACATTGAAAAATTTAATGAGGATTTACAGACTAATTTATCATACTTAAACCAGAACACTGTAAATGTAAACGAGGCATACACAAATTTTAGCAAAACTTTTATGGAAGTCACAGACAAACACGCCCCTTTAAAACGTAAACGTTCAATGGACCAGACAGTACCATATTATTATATATGAATAAAACCTTAAAACAAGCTATTTACAAGAAACGCATGTTACAAAATACATATAATAAATACAAAACATCAAAGAACTGGCAAAAATACCGTAAACAAAGAAATCTTGTCACAAGCATTAAAAGAAAATCAATAAATAAATATTTTTTTAGAGAGATGTGTAGGTGGATGTAAAAATAAATCATTTTGGCCTACTGTTAAACCATTTTTAACAAATAAAGGTACTATTGTAAAAAAGGATATGATTTTATGTGAAAATGATATTCTAGTAAGTGATCAGTCCCAGGTGTGTGATATTTTTAATGAATTTTATGTACATGTTGCTAAGGACATTGGTGCAGACTCAATACCAATCAACAACAATCACCCTAGCCTTAATTCTATAAGAAATAATCTTAAATCTGATAAACAACTCAATTTTCAACCTGTAAATAACTCCTTCATTAGTAAACAGATTGATAAATTATCATCTAAAAAAGCAACCGGTCAAGATGGCATATCTGCTAAACTTTTAAAATTTTCTAAACCTTCAGTCGTGGAACATATATTACTAATATGGTTAATCTGAGTTTCCAGTCATCCATCTTTCCTGATAGTCTTAAAATAGCTCAGGTAGTTCCGGTCCATACGAAAAATAGTACTCTAGATAAAGGTAATTACAGACCTGTAATCCTTCCAATTTTATCTAAAATCTTCGAAAGGTCTATTAATACCCAACTAACTGACTTTTTCAATGACCATTTTAATACTTACTCATCTGCTTTTAGACCAGGTTACGGCTGTCAAAGCACTCTACTTAAAATTACTGAAGACTGGAAAAGATCACTGGATGAAAACAAATACATAGCAGCTATTTTAATGGATTTGTCAAAAGCCTTTGACTGCCTACCCCATGACCTCCTTCTCATGAAACTTAGATGTTATTGGGTCTCCGACCATGCCCTAGATTTATTAACTAATTATTTAACAAATAGGAAACAATGTGTCAAACTTGGATCTAATTTAAGTTCTTTCAAAGATATTTATAAAGGGGTTCCTCAAGGTTCTATTCTAGGCCCTGTATTATTTAACATATTTTTAAATGACATTTTTGATTTTGTACACAAATGTGATCTTTATAATTATGCAGATGACAACACTTTATCATGCAGTGACACAAACATTGACAATGTTGTTGAATCTTTAGAGTCAGATAGTCAGTCATTAATACAATGGTTTTCGGACAATCATATGAAAGCAAACCCCGACAAATTCCAGTCTATTGCTATTGGTAAAAAAACTAGGGATCAAAATATTAGTTTCAATTTAAATGATAGTACAATCTAATGTGATGAATCTGTTAAACTTCTAGGGGTAACTTTTGATTTTAAACTCAAATTTGATAATCATATTTCTGACATCTGTAAAAAAGCCTCAAAACAACTAAACGTGCTAAAGAGAATAGGTAAAAATTTATGTAAATTGGGGAAATTGAACATATATGTATATTACTCTTTTATACTACCAAACTTTAATTACTGCCCTGTCACCTGGCACTTCTGTGGAGAAAAGTACACAAAAAAACTAGAGAAAATTCAAGAAAGGGCATTAAGATTCATTTATGATGACCATCAATCAGACTATGACTCACTTTTAATAAAATCTAATTAAACTACCAAATTTAAAATTAAGACGAATCAGAACTATAGCCCTCGAAATTCATAAAATTATTCATAAACAAGGACCAACATACTTACATGATCTTGTTAATATAAAATCTCAATCTTTTAATTTTAGGTATAAAAATGTAGCCATTATCCCTCAGGTAAGAACCGCAAGTTATGGCAGCAACTCTTTTCGTTCCTATGCATCTAAACTATGGAATTCACTTCCTCAACACCTCAGAATGGAAGTGAATTATGACCAATTTAAAAGTTTAATTGGTGCATGGAATGGAGAGTGTTGCTCATGTAGTTTCTGTCAATAAACCTGCATTATAGTTTAGCTCCATCTTCAGTTTTGTTTCTTGCCTGCTTTCTTTTGTTTTGCTGCTTACTTACATGTATCTGTTTATTTCACATTTGGCTTAAATTTTGTTAATATTCTCAACATAAATGATTATGTACATGTATTATTTTTCCAGTATGCTTGAATTTTTGTTTGCTTATTGTCTGCTTATTGCGAAGTTTGCTTATTGAGGAGGCTGCTGATCACTTCTTTCAAATTTTGAATTGGGGATTTTTATTTATAAAACCTAATTAGTGGTAACAGTTTTGTGATCCTTTTCATTTTCAATATCGTATTTCCTTTCTTTTATAGCAGTCCAGGCTAGGCCTGGGTCAAGGTCAGCAGTATCCACCCACTTTTAATGTAATCTTATTTTATGTATGTGCTAATATGTTCCGCATTTTATCTAGATATATATTATTTTATTCACTTATGATACAGTATAGATCTTTTAAGCATTTCCTTAGCATATCATAACTATTTATTAATTATTATTATTTTATTTTAACATTTGTCTTTCAAAGTTTATCTTAATGTGCTTCTTTTATGAGTTTTATGTTTATATCATTATATTATGCATGTATGTCGGTCAAAAGCTATACATAGCTTATGTTTTGTAAAAATGTTATATATGTATACCGACAATAAATAAATAAATTTTGATTTGATTTGATTTGTTTCCTTATTTAAATACAAAGTAAACCTAGATTTTATTACATCTTGCGGAATTTATCAATTATTTAAACCCGAAATGGAGCTACTGCACAGTACATTTTTCGCGAAAAGGGAAGCACTGGGAGAAAACAAAGCGCCGGGCGACGCGGAGCGTAATATTTTTTTTCCCAAAAAATAAAAAATGACTGCTGGGTCTTCGGAAGAAGAGAAAGCAGACCCAGAATTAGTGGAAAAGATAATTCACACATTAAAGTCAAAGGGATGTTTTGATCAGTTCAGAAAAGAATTTATTGCAGAGGCTGACACAAAGGTTTGGATATTTATATGTTTTCGCGATGTGTAAAATATTTTTCAAATATCATGAATCTGCTGGAGGCAATTCTATAATTTGACAATGACACAGTCGAGAGTTTTTGTTGTTTATGTTTTTTTAGAATAATCCCTTGACAATAATAGACTCAGTATTATGAAATTAGGTGCTACCAATGGTATCTGGACGTTTCGGCCTTGGTCTTTCCACTTTCTAGGCTTTTTGCCTCAAGTGTCCTTTTCGGCTACTCTTTGTGTCGCATGTACGAAGTAGAAACTCCATATAGGGAACACTTATCTGTCTGTCTGTCACAAAACTTGTCAGGACTACTCTTCATAAACTATGGTACAATGTCATCAAAACTTTACTGGCATGCGAGCAGTTTCCGTACAAAAAATCGTAGTGACTTAAACATTATTTTTTATTACGCTCACTCACCACAATTTGAATGTTACACATCAACAGTCTTCACGAAAAACTTTAAAAAGCACAGGACATTCGGGCCAGTAAAATTTCAAATCTAACTGGACCTGGTGATTTTTAGCCGGACCAAATACATAGATAGGTAATAAATTGATGGGTAAAGGAAAACACTTTATCATGCTTCCCTTGTTAATTTTGAAAGAAGCAAAATACTTCTTGTATTCTGGACCATAAGTTGATAGCTCTATAAATTTATAAGGACCAAATGTTAAGGCAAAACTGACTAGCATTGAACATGAACAACGCAGTTTGCTTCAAACAAATCACTTTCACACAAAATATTAACTTAACTCAATTATCACAAAATCATAGGTAAATAATGACCATTATAAACAATGGTTTAATTTCCGTAACTGTATGGTGCGGTACGGAAAATATCCAAGAAAAAAATGGCGGCCTCTATTACTCAATACAATTTAGACATCTCTCGCTGTGTTTTGAATTTTTAGGACAGAATTGACCGGTTTCACTTGCAAAAAAGGCAAAAATATCAATCTTTTAGAGAGCCCTGCTTCATTATTTTGTTGAATTTTTCTTATAATATTTTTTCATGGCCAAAAATCTACTGGCCCGTCGGACCACCAACCTTGCAATAATCACCGGACCGATGCTAAATTTAGTGGCCTCGGGCCTCGGACTGGCGTTAATTTCGAAGACTGCATCAATATTCAGCTCGTCACACAAATCATGGAAATTCCATGATGTTCTAAACATAGAACAACCCTTAGTTATGAGGCCTCATATGGGGTACCGAAATTATCCATTTTTTTGTTTGAAGAGAAGTAGTTCCCGTACATAAAATTTAACCCATTATAATTATACAAGTTTGTTATATCGGACCTATTTTTCATTTATAATTATTAGACAGAGCATTTTCTAAGAGATAACTAGATGTAATTCAGGAAATAGTGCGTAGACTAAACGCTGGTATCTATTACCCGGTACCGTTACCCCAACGCATTCACATGCAATAGCATGCTTGTATGCATGATATTTTACGCATCAAAGCCATAAAATTATTATATATTGTAATATTGGCCAAAATTCTGATAATTAAAGAAGTTTTCATCACATTGCCTACTTATCTGTAAACAGGTGGTATCAGTGGAAAACCCTTTAACAGGCCTTACGTGTCAGTATTTTTGCGCATGCGCGCAAGGACGGAATCCCCCAGAGAAAACAAGGTCACGTTTTGACAACGCACAGGTGAAAGTGATTTAAAATGAGACTTTTTATACATGCTGCCGAACTGACACTTAGATTTTGTCTCGTTTATGCATCTGCTTGATTTGAAATGATTTTTTGAAGAATTCAAGTAAAAATCAAGCGTTTAAATGAAAAATACGGGTACTGCTTCTGTACGGGAACTGCTCGCATACCAGTACCAGTTTACTGAAGTGGTCAGTACCAAGTCTACAGTTGTGCATATTGTCAGCATTTTCTGGTTTAATGATTTTTGACTGAGTTATGGCAGGTCTAGTACTTGGGCATATTACAGGGGTTTTCCGCTTGAATGATTTTTGGTCCAGTTATGGCCCACGAACAGGAAGGATAATAATAAAGACTACTTCTCTTATACCATTAATGCAATTTCAATGAAACTTTACATGATTGATGGGTAGGTCAAGTACATGTGCATTATACACAGGTTTTTTTGCTTGCTTGAATGATTTTCAGCTGAGTTCTTGCCCTTGAATAAAAAAATATGTTTTGACGTCACCTGTTAATGATTTTTGGGTCTCCTGCTTCATAGTACTAGTAGCTGCAATATGCGATTGGCTATCACAAGGTGACACATGTTACCACTGACAACCCTTGTTTGTACTGTGGGGATAATTCAGTATACTTGTTTAACACCTTGGTCAAGTGATTAAATTATCTTGAGTGATAATTAGGATTGTTCAAGATAATCTAATCAGTTGACCAATCAAGCTGTAACAACTGAAGTCAAAGACAAAAGATGATAAATCAGTGTGCAATCAAGCTGTATCATCCTGTGCCATGACATTCTGAATTTAATTCCATTTATAACTTTATGCTTTAATGATAGACTGTGAGAGAATTTTTTTTTAAATATATTTTTGTTGATATGAAATTAGGCAAAGCCTATGAATGGGGAAATCGGTCAAAAAAATTAAAAAATTGTTCATTTTCTATTTTACATTTTTCATTTGAAAAGTGTTATTTGGTATTTCATACACTGCTTCCGTTTCTACTCTGAACACCTCGGCGTTTATTATTAAGCTGAAATGTTGCGTTGTTCCATTTATATTGGATTACCCCGCCCATTATCATTTAGTTTCATTGAAAATGGCTGCGCCTAACAAGATATGACACTGGATACTTATTTAACAAATCACTTGAATTTTATTTGGTTCAGGCTTGATGAATAATCAATCAAGTTGTCATACTTTTACCTGAGAACAAATGGTGATTAGACTATTTGGACATTTTTAGTTAACTTCTATGAAGCAATATGAATTATGATCATGCTGCAATATGAAGCATGTTAACAAAAACAAGAAATGTTTGGCTATAACTGAACATGTGACCACATACTTGAAGCTGATTGGTCAAATATATTAAACCAAGAAAAATGACTCTCAAATGTTGGCCAAATATTTACTATTAAATTGATACACATTTGCCTCTTATCTGTTCAGATGTAAAGCAATACATTGTCATTATAGTAATGACCTGGACATAGTCAGTCATTAAAAATTACTCTGTGTCCCCAAAGACACAGTTGTACAATTTCTTTGCATACTCAACATATTTTGATATGTGTATTTGACACAGAAAATTGTGTTATGTAAAACTCTGTCTGAGCACATCTGATAGCCAGAATAGTGTGGGGATTTCTGGAGCTTTTATGATTTGCATTGAGAAGGCATTGGCAGTGATTTTGCCATATGATTTATTATTCCTGCAAAGATGATATATCACATTTGTATGCTGATGTATAGTAAAAAAAAAACTCTGTTATTCTCCCATAGTTGGTTAAGGTTTCCAACATTTGGTTGATAAATTTGATATATTCAACAAACTTTTATTTCCAGCCTGCATATCACAATCTACAACAGAGAGTAGAATCATATGTATCAAGATTTCTTAGCCAACAAAAATGGAGTCCAACACTAAACAAAAATCAACTGAGAGAGAATCTTCGCAGACAGATAAATCAGTAAGCTTAACTTTGTATTTTTGTTTACATTAACTTGTTACAGGTTTTAGTTCATGCAGGGCTTCTGTATATATTGGGAGTTTAGGAGTCATTTACTCAGTAATTTTGGCTTATGACTTTCAAAACGTAATGCTTTTCCTTCATTATTTGTTTAGTATTATAGTTTAAGCTAGGGTAGTCACCCTTGAAGTAACGTCAATGCACATTTTTTTACATCAAGGAGAATGTCAGGTCAATATTTTGTTATAAGGTTACAAAAATCTTGGGCATGCTAATGGCATGCATCACTATTCTCAATCATTGTTAATATGTTCATTTATATAGATTTATCCAAGTCTAATGATCTATCAGTCAGGTAAAATTTGACTCTATATACATGTACATTTAAGTTGCTTCTGAATGGTTAGAGAGTGCTAAATTTATTTAGCCTTAATGCTTATTTCTGCTAAAATTTGTCTTTATAATTCAAATCTCCAAAATTCATATATATTCCCTCTATTTGTAAAAAAATCCCCAACACAAAAAAGCAGCATCGTTTAAAAAGCAATATTCCAAAACAGGGGGACATTTTCGTATAGTTTGAAAAATAATAATAGTGTTGTATCACAATCTAGCAGATAATAAACTCTTCTTCTGTGTTTAACTTTTCCCCTCAACTTTACAATTTTCCCTCTCTGTTGGTCCTACCACCAATCCCCTACAAGTGAAATAAGCACTGCAAGATTATTATTAAGGCCATTGCAGGAAACCAATCATCATTATAAAATACATTAATATGACATTAATAGCAAATTAATTGTAAACTCCAAATGCCAGTAAAGATCTAATAAAATTGAATCAGGGAATTGGTGGATAGATATTTAATTATCGGTCATGTTTCTAATTGAAATCAATGATTCCTCTGATAAAACATTTGTGGAACAAAGGAAATGAAATTGTTGAACAGTTACTGAGTCACATGTATTTCAAGGAAGCATTATACAAATACCAGAGACAATAATGCAATATTACCTTGCATAAGTCCTTTGTTTTGTAGATATGGCAATAAATAATATATATGACTAAACTGGGTAGAAAATGTAAAGAAATAATTAAGTTCCAAAATATCGGTATTAAATTGAAGGAAAATTTAGCAAATTTATTTTTTGCTATATTAATTGCACGCAAATGTAGCGAAAATAAGATACTTGCGAAAAAACCCTGATATAAAGTATATGTATAATTCTTTTAACTATTTATAGGTCTGGTATGTTAAACAAAGGAGTGGAGAGGATTGTGGAGCAAACAATCAACCCAAAGATCATGCAGCTTATAAAGCCAAAGACAGATGAGGTGACATGTGAACACCTTAACATTAGTCTTACCGAACATAAGAATGCTCTGAAGAGAAAGCAACAAGAACAGCAGGAGAAATTGATGAAATCACCTGATTCTGCCAGCATTCAGAGTCTTCTGAATATTAATTTTAACTCACCACCACCAGGTTACTATAAATTTCATACACATATTTTATCTCATTAGCTCAGCAGTGCAGAGGTGAGCTTTTGTGTTGGCATGGTGCTTGTAATCCGTCATGTGTATTTCCATCATCTATTACACTTTAAACAAATCTCCTACTGAACCACATGGTAGATTTTGACCAAACTTCACAGAAATGATCCATAAGTAGCCCTTTACCCTTTTCCTTAAGTAACGGTAGTATAATGGTTCCAGGCTGAAGCATAGTTGTCACAGGAACTAAAATAGACTTTTTCTGCTCAGAAACTATAGTTCCCAGAGCTTAGTGGGCATGTACTTTGTAGCATCACCTTGTTATTTAAAAAAAAATTTGGGGCATAATTGGCCCTGCCTCAATGTGGACCTAATTAACTACATGTATGCATGTATGTCTGTATTAAAGAAGCATGATCGTTTGAAGCAAAAAATCTCAAGTGAAATATCGGGGAGGGGGGGGGTTGTCTAATATGACCCCCTTGTTATTAATTATGTAGCTACCGGTAGTCCATAATCCATATAGTCCATATATATTAATGTTACTCTACTCAGAAAAGAAAAGTAGGCCTGCTAAAAATTGTAAATTGCACAATGTTGTCAAACTAAGATTATAGCATTCAATCCTATTTTAGTGTATTGACTTATATGTTTCTACTTGTTTGTCAACATGTCTAAGACTATACATACTCCAGTATTGGTTCAAGTTTAGTTTTGAATGAAGGCAAATTTTAATTCCTGCTCCAAGATTATTGTCTGCTCTTTATGAATTGTGCCAGAAACTGGCTTTAGTACATTACTTTCATTAGCCATTAGTCATAGTTTTGCGTCATCCAACGGAAGAAGGCAAATTTGATAGTCTGTAAATAATTGTCTCCATGAAAATAGATTAAGTTATTATGATTGAGTTTTTGTGGCATTCAGGTACATTTAATTAGTACAGGGATATTATTTGACTGCTGGATACAAATAAAAACATTTCATTTAGTAGTTTCCCGCAGGTTAATATTAGAATATCAGTTTAAAGTTTCCTTGTTACAAAATTCATTTTTGTATGCATGCAGTAAAGTAGAAGAAGGGTGCGTCTGTGGCTGAGTGGTTAAGGTTGTTGACTTCAAACCACTTGCCCCTCACAGCTGTGGTTTCGAATCCAGACAGGGACTTTGGATTCTTTCATATGAGGAAGCTATCCAGCTAGCTTATGAAACATTAGTCGTTCTACGCAGGTGCCAATTTGTGCTTGAAATGGACGAAAGGGCATCTGAGATATTCCTCTACCAAAAAAGCTGGAAACTTGCCATATGACCTATACTGTGTTGATGCAACATAAAACACGTTAAAAAAATATTATGTGTGAGAATGAAGAAAGTTGTAAATGTTATATAATTTGATAAAGTGGTAAATGTTTTACATTTTGATAAAGTGGTAAATGTTATACATTTTGATAAAGTGGTAAATGTAAATGTTATATTTTTTTATTATTTACAAAACAGCTACTAATGCTGGTCCGTTTGCCAACACAAGTTCACCTGCTATGTTACCTGGACAGTATAACTCAGGACCTCCTCCTGCAGCTGGCATGCTTGGACCAACACCCACACCAGCACCAGGCCAATTTCCTCCTCAGCTTCAAGGTTACAGCGGTGCCAACCCAGCTGGACTAACTTTTCCAGGGATCAGTCAACAAAATTTTCCTTTTTTACCGCATGTAAGAATATGCTTATATATAATATATATACACTTGTATACAATGTGTTTCCTCAGGTTCTCCTCAATATTAAATTAAAAAGGTAATTACTCCTTACTAAAGACATACATATTATTGTCATTATCTGAAAAGTGGGATAATTAACAGATGTTTTACTGATATACCTGCTTGTATCTTTATTAATGTTGTTATGTTTTCATCCAACATTGTAGCTGAAAGGTGACCATTATTAAGATGAGGCATAAAAACCTCATTAGACTAAGAGTTTTTGCATGGTTTATGTGTAAATTCTTAATAAATTACAATAATAAGAGACCTAAAACCTGTAGCCTCTCTATTTAATAAAAGGCTAAAGACTGTCATGTCATGAACATCTTTACAACTTTTACTGGAGACATCATTATTTTTCTGTTCACAGGGTTGGAATGCTTCATTAAATGCTGGATTTCCGCCAATTTTCCCAGGCCATCCTTTTCAAACTTTTGGCATCCCCCCTCCAGGAATAGCAATGACTGTGCCCCCTCCAGCTGCAGGAGGCCTCATGATACCCCCAGTGAGCAGTGCAGTAATCACAAGCTCTGCACAAGCACTTAAACCATCTCCTATAAAGGGAATCAAAGGTCTTAATGCCCTCCTTGGTCTACCAACACCATCAGAAGAACCTGCTCCGCCGGGAACCGTCGTCCTCCCAGATGGTACCCAGGTTCTGAAAAAGAGACCAGCGTCTGATATCAGTTTGGCAGAAGATTCTAAAGATGGTTTATACACTGATGCTACAGGGAATGTTGACTCTGAGAAAGCTTTGGCAGAGAAAGCTGTCAATGAACAGATTCAGAAAGCAATGCATGAGCAGATGGTAGCTATTGGTGAGCTAGATGGTGAGCTTGGGGATCAGACTGGTGAAGGCAAGAGGCAATACAGGTTTGCCTGGGATGAAGATATACAGGAAGTTGACCTTGAGGTAGGAATAATATTTTTATGATCGTTTCATAGCAATTTTTTTTTAAACAAACATTTTAATGAAGCCCCTGCCTACTTCAAACTTTAATCTGACTATTAAAATGCATACTTTGTTAGTTTCTATTAGATAAGACCAAATGACACTTAAATTCTTATTTCAAAGAATTTGTCTTCAACAAAAATGTGTAAAAGAATATAACTTTATCAAAGTATCTTTTTAAAATGGTAATTTTAAACTACCTATTTTATCAATGTTATTGAAGAAATACATGTATATTGTATTTCAAATATCTATAGTAAATGTGTCTTAAATTTTACAGGATTCTGTCGGGTCAAGTGACATTAGTTCTGTGCACACAAGTGATCTGTCCCATTTTGAGGACAGTGAGAACAGTTCAGATAGTGACCTTGAAGATCTGGAGAATAAACTACAACAGTTGAAGGAGAAACATAAAGAAGAGTCAAACATTGGTAAATAACCTGATATACTTGCTTACAATTGTACTTTGTTCATCAATGAGAGTCTGAAATTTATTAGCAAAATGCTGTGAATTAGTATTCGATTAATGATTTATTATGCTGAAATCTGCGTTGTCAGTCTTCACTATGTTTTCATTCTATACAGCATTTCCAGTCTTCACTAACAATATGAGCCGTGTCATGACAAAACCAACATAATGGGTTTGCGAACAGCATGGATCCAGACCAGCCTGCGCATCCGTGCAGTCTGATCAGGATCCATGCTGTTCGCTATCAGTTTCTATACTTGTAAAAGGGTTTGTAAGCGAACAGCTTGGATCCAGATCAGACTGCGTGGATGCACAGGCTGGTCTGGATTCATGCTGGTCGCAAACCCATTATTTTTGGTTTTGTCATAGCGCAGCTCATATGTTTTCAGTCTTCAATTTGTTTTCTTTGTTCACTATATTTTCAGTCCTTACTATGGTTTTAGTCTTCACTTTGTTTTCATTTCACTATGTTTTCAGATCATGGTTCAGAAGCTGTTAAGGAGTCAGTGGAAGCCCAAGTAGAAATGATGGATACAGGGACTGCTGAAACACCATCAGAAATTGCTCCAACAGAATCTGCACTCATCAAATCTCAAATGTTAACACCTACTGGTGAGGCATTTATTTTAGCTCAACTATTATATTTATATCAGACAGAGAACTTTCATATTCACTCTGGTGCCCCTTTTTCAACTCAGAATTTAGGTTATTTTTTCCATACCACCCCACTTATTTCCTATACCCTTTGAGGTATTGCTTTCAAACTTTGTATACTTGTTAGTAACCATCATCCCTACTTCCAGGCAAGTACTTAAAATAATTGAGCGCACCTTCAAATGAGCAGCTCTTGTTTAGTTCTTTCTTAAATTTTGATAATGCAATTGTGTTAGGAGTTTTAGATACACTATCATAACTTGTAGTGTACTCAATCTAATGCAATGAAAAAATCTCAATCTAATTCAATGAAAAAAGAAGGTTATTTTAAATCTGACATGTCTCTCAAAATTTAAACCTGTACACACTCCTGCAACACAATTTCTGACGTTGATCTTATTGACGAGTTAAAACAAATATTATCTGTTACTATTAATAGAGAGCCAAGTAATGGATGAGGGTGCATTAAAGAAAGAGGTAGCAGAAAAGCCTCGTAAACTATTGTCGTTACAGTATAACTACAGCGATAGTGAAGATGAAGAGACGCGAGAAGAAAGAAAAGCCCGAATTGTAAGTATTCTCGTCCTTATATGCCGAATCATGTTCATTCATATTCATTAGTTTGAAGCTTGTTTCTTAATATGATCCGTACACCACACTGTTTTATGCTTTATATTTTTGCTTCTATTTTGATTTTTAGAAATTGACTGCAATACATTTGTACTATAACATGGGTAGGTAGTATAGTATGTAAGGAAAGGAGTATGTAAGGAAATATAATATGAGTTTGTGAAGTATTATATAAATTTGTAATAATGCAAATAAATTTCTCGAATTCTGGTTAATTTAATTTGTTTACGATGTGGTATAAACCATTAAGAACTGATGTGTGCACAATATGTGTGCATAAAATTTTTATTGTGTTTTGTATGTTATTTCTCGATCCAAATAATCTTACTTAAAAAAAAAGTTAAAAATTACACCACTATGATGACTTAATACTTGAAGTACATTTCATCTCGCACGTACGCAAAGCCATTGAATGGCAAGTCTCATTTATGTGTGTCTTTTTCTCACACTTTTTTAAAAAGAGTCTTAAAGTGCTGGGTTTCTTATAAACTTATCATCAGCAAAGAATTGTATTATTATGAACTTGTTATTCAAGTTGTTACTGGAATATACAGGAGAATATAGCCTAGGCGTTTCTAACATAAATATAACTCTTAGTGTGATATGGGTGTGTGAGGTAGTGTGATATGGGTATGTGAGGTAGTGTGATAAGAGTATGCGAGGTAGTGTGATAAGAGTATGCAAGGTAGTGTGATAAGAGTATGCGAGGTAGTGTGATATGGGTGTGTGAGGTAGTGTGATATGGGTGTATAAGGTAATTAGATATGGGTGTGTGAGGTAGTGTGATATGGGTGTGTGAGGTAGTGTGATATGGGTGTGTGAGGTTGTGTGATATGGGTGTATAAGGTAGTTAGATATGGGTGTGTGAGGTAGTGTGATATGGGTGTGTGAGGTAGTGTGATATGGGTGTGTGAGGTTGTGTGATATGGGTGTGTGAGGTTGTGTGATATGGTGGGTGAGGTAGTGTGATATGGGTGTATAAGGTAGTTAGATATGGGTGTGTGAGGTAGTGTGATATGGGTGTGTGAGGAAGTGTGATATGGGTGTGTGAGGTAGTGTGATATGGGTGTATAATGTAGTTAGATATGGGTGTGTGAGGTAGTGTGATATGGGTGTGTGAGGTAGTGTGATATGGGTGTGTGAGGTTGTGTGATATGGGTGTATAAGGTAGTTAGATATGGGTGTGTGAGGTAGTTAGATATGGGTGTGTGAGGTAGTGTGATATGGGTGTATAAGGTAGTTAGATATGGGTGTGTGAGGTAGTGTGATATGGGTGTGTGAGATTGTGTGATATGGGTATATGAGGTTGTGTGATATGGGTATGTGAGGTAGTATGATATGGGTATGTTAGGTAGTGTGATATGGGTAGGTGAGGTAGTGTGATATGGTATGTGAGGTAGTGTGATATGGGTGTATAAGGTAGTTAGATATGGGTGTGTGAGGTAGTGTGATATGGGTGTGTGAGGTAGTGTGATATGGGTGTGTGAGGTTGTGTGATATGGGTATATGAGGTAGTGTGATATGGGTGTGTGAGGTTGTGTGATATGGGTATGTGAGGTTGTGTGATATAGGTATGTGAGGTAGTATGATATGGGTATGTTAGGTAGTGTGATATGGGTATGTGAGGTAGTGTGATATTGGTAGGTGAGGTAGTGTGATATGGGTATATGAGGTAGTGTGATATGGGTATGTTAGGTAGTGTGATATGGGTACGTGAGGTAGTGTGATATGGGTATGTGAGGTAGTATGATACTTGTGTGTGAAATAGTATAATATGAATAAGAGTTTGCAAACTAGAACAATACTACTTTAACACGTAGTTTTTTATGCCACCGCAGCATCTGCGATGCGGTGGCATATAGCGATTCACCTGTGTGTGTGTTTGTTTGTGTGTGTGTGTGTGTGCGTGTGTTTATTGTCCAATCTCACTACATTGACCTGTAAACACACCAACAAATTGACTACATTTTGGAAAGTCACTACATACACTCGTGTAGTGATTTTCCTAATGCCTTTAAAAATGCTCTTTTCTTCATATTTTGTTTGCTAGTCGAAAATTTTGAATATGTGCAATTTTCCATGTTAAACTGACGTTTTATACACGTCCCTGTTAACTGAATTTTTGATGCGTACACACTTTTATCCAAACGCGCACCTGCTACCGGTGTTAGGGTAAGAATGTCCCGCGAAACGTCCACCATATTGAACTCGAAGGACAACTTGTTTTTTTTTTACCTAGTTATTGAAAAACGTTTAATATTTCGGAGGTACAAGATATCACAGACTTATAAGGTAAATATATATATATATATATCCTATGGACATTATTTGTTAGCGATATTTATAAATATCTTCCTTTCAGGCATTGAATTAACATTCACTCAGGGTTCTCAAAATCTCGATGACGCATGATCCAGCATTTGTTTAAAATAATCATGAAATACTAAAATAAATATTTTATGTTATATTATTAAAATCAACAACAACTAGAATATTGGATGTTAAACAAATTTCATTTGTCACAAAATTTCGCGATGCCGCTTTTTATTTATAAAAAAGGGTCCCCAAAAGGAAGGAAGTTTTGTTTTGTTAAAAGGTGGGAAACAACATTTAAGATGTACTTTATGAATTAAATTTGCTTTAGATATTATTTACTTTATTTGAGATGGAGATATTTGCCACTGGCCCAGTATGTGTTTGTCATACATATAATATTTACTTGAGGGAGGGAGATATGTTGAGTGAATCAATTAGTAAACAACAATGCATAATGGCCTGATGAGGAAAGGTTTTAAGGATTTATTCTTCAAATCTTATATTTCACTTTTTTTTATAGTTCAGTGTTTCCCATTTGGGACATGCATCCTTTTTCTGTTCAACTCTGACACCCCCTGTCCTTTACACTGCTTAATTATTCACTAACTGATGCGTTACTACTAATACTTAGTCTAGTCAAGTCAACCCAGCCTCAAGTTAATCCGGCCGGATGTAATTCTGATTTCTGGTCAACCCGGCCTCATTTTTGTAAATATTTATTTAGATCTACTTTTTCCTCATTAACTTTTTGATTATCAAAAAACAAATTTTCTCTGATATCAAGCAATGAATATTGTTTCTAAAGCAAATAAGCTGTTGTACTAAAAACTAGCTATCTAGATCTATATGTTTCTTATATGTTTTTATTGTTATTGTTATTATTTAAAGGTGACGGAAATAAAAATCTTTGATGCTTGCGAAAAAAGTAATGCTAAATAAATAATAACAGAACGTTTCACTTCTCCCAATTACTGGGGTGATCTTTACATGTAGAGACGGTCCTAAGAAGAGTTGTTGCCGACAGATATTTGGAGCGATAAAAGAAAATATAATGAGTATTGATAAGTTATAAATTAATAAAAATATTTTCAAAGATATAGATATTCCATTATTTTTTCTAGCTATTTAACTATTAAGAAACAGTACCCAAATAAGTTAAAAGGGCAAAAATATATGCTAAACAAAGGTCTTTCAATTAGCTACCCGATACATTTGGCAGTATTTTTGATAACACTTAACCTTTTAAACTTTGTGGACAAAGATTTTTCAAAGCTTAATGAATTTAGATTTGTCAGTCAGTCATATGGTCACCTAATAATAAAAGACATTTTTCAGTGAACTGGTCAAATTTTTCAAACCTATTCCATAATCGATTGCAAACAAATATGACATAGCGAGGTAAACATCGGTTATAATTTGTAACAAAAAATGGTAGGCTAAAGTCTTTGTGAAATATATGAAAAAGGGTCATTATGGTAGATAACCCAATCACGTGACTCAACCGAGACAGCCTTTTTTGTAAAATTGGTCTGTCTCCAGACCGTTCTAGATATTTGAAAGACCCTGGTTGCATATACAGTTGATATAAGACAAATGGCTCACCTGAGTTAAGGATTTTAACTAATTTCAATTTCCTTCAAAAGTGTAAAAGTATTTAATTAATTTAATTTCTTGAGTTTCGATAAAAAAATTGTATTTTAATTTATTTTTGTAAAAGTTATTTATATATGTACATGTTATCTACTTTATAATTTAGTTCAAAAATATTTCTGAAATGGATGGCATGTCAACCAAAATGTACATTTCAAGGAGTGTAATGATTATATTATTTATAGATGGCACTGCAGTGTTTTTACCCCCTGCTTTGGGGAAATGGTGCCAGTACTAGACAGATTGTGACAGATTGTGAAAAAATTATGCTTTGGTTTAACTCAAATTGGGAACTTTACATGAGTACAAAAATATTCATTGGCAGTTCCTTTTATCCAGGAAAACATGTATAATATGCATAATATACACTTAAAAACCGTGTATTATTAACTTCAATGATTTTTTTGTTACTTTAGGTTGAAAAAAAAGAAAACAATTGTACATAAATAATATTTAGGTGTGAAACACTAAAAGTACGAAATGAACTGGGTACGAATATCGAATATGTGGTTATACTTGGTTATTATCCTGTATCACTTATCATCATGGAAGCATCCATAATATACTGGTTTGTTTAGCTTTAAATTTGCAGTTTTTTGAGGAATTTTCATTGTTATTTTGGGCTCTTGGCTGATATGAACTGGGAATTTTGCTGTCTATTTTTTCTTTTAGGAACTATGCTGTTTTCTGGTATAATTTAAGGGGAAATAAAAAACGCTGCACTGTATATAGAGAATAACAGGTTACTGTCTTTTGAGAAAGGGTTTCTCAGACGAGGTTAGATATGGTCCTGGAAGGGGCGAGGCTTGCCGAGCCCCTTCCGGACCATATCTAGCCGAGTCTGAGAAATCCCTTCCTCAAAAGACAGTAACCTGTTATTCTTTTTATCATGCCTCTATTATGACTTTGCATCTTATTTTTTTAATTCGGGGCGCTAAATTTCTGAAAGTACGGTAACCAC